TTGGCCATGGTTTTGGAATGGGAAGTCCATCAAGCTCATGTAGGTGTGATGGTCAGGTATCTATAGACTTTTGATCATATAGTGTGTGTATCTATCTAGCTGTAAACTATAGATGACCAGATAGATAGATAGATAGATAGATAGATAGATAGATAGATAGATAGATAGATAGATAGATAGATAGATATTTCTATGATCTGATTAATGATCAGACCATTTTGAGTCGTTTTAGTCCCTGGATGATTTATGTGGTTGAAGATTTCTCATTTATCCCAGTGAAAGAGCAATATAAATGGTGAAGGACGGAATGTCGGTCCCTGAAGAGTCACTGATAGACTGGAAAGGAGAGAATAGAGAGACACACACTCAGTCATCCTGAGCCATAAGGATGACGAAATGAGAAGCAGACTCCACAGAAACTGACCCATTCTGCCGAAAGATCAATAAAGGTCGATTGGCCTCCCCCCATCCATATCAGCGCCTAACAGTCCTCGCAGGGATGAGGATGATATCTCTCGAGATTTCTGATGTGTAATGTATAGCACACCAAGAATCAACATACATGTGTCTGGATACATCCACAGCTTCTGCGGAGCTAGGGTCCAGCATGCTTCTCTGTCGACTACCTCATTGGGCTTGCTGAGACTTGTAGTTCACATGTCGCTGTAGAGATGTGTGTAATAATTATATGTTCAGCTCATGTTTGTGTGGGCTCCCTTTAGATTCCTCCTCAGGAGAGCCTGTTCTGCGTTCAGCCATCAAAGGCTGAATCATTCTTAAACAATAACGCATGCCAAGACCTGCTAACGGCTTTCAGAGAAAAGCAATGCGAGCGCCTGGACTACATGCACATCCATTTCATCACAGCGCAGCTGCAAGCCAGATTGAGAGTTCTCAAGGAAGACCAAGCCAAGGATTCTTCCCCCGAAAAACTCAATGCTCGAGACTGAACAAAACTAATCCAAGCAACGGCTCTTGGCCTTAATGGCCGAACGAGACACACATCTAAACTGGTGCTTTATGCGAGGAAGGTGGCATATGAGATGAGTAAAAGATCCAGAACATCAATGGGCAAAAGAGCAAAATAAATCCCAAAATACGGACGGGAAGAGGAGACGGCACTGCCTTGTTAAAGAGGAACTCTGGGGAAATCTAAAGCACACTCCCTGGCTCCTACTAAATATATTTATTCAGCACCTTCCCCCAACTTTTCCCTTGAGATTGTTCACACAACTATCCATCCCGCCCCCCCCATGCCAAGGTCCTAGGTGTCATCCTTGATTCGGACCTCACCTTTCTTCCCCACATCCAATCACTATCCAAATCCTGCCGCCTTCACCTTCGTAACATCTCAAAAATACGCCCCTTCCTCACCAATGACACCGCAAAACTACTCATCCACTCGCTTGTTATCTCTCATCTAGGTTATTGCAACTCCCTCCTCATTGGTCGACCTCTACATAGGCTCCTCCCCCCTTCAGTCTATCATGAATGCAGCTGCTAGACTCATTCACCTAACCAACCGCTCAGTGTCTGCAACCTCCCTCTGCCAATCCCTGCACTGGCTTCCACTCGCCCAAAGGATAAAATTCAAAATATTAACAACCACTTACAAAGCCATCCACAACTCCGCCCCCGGCTATATCTCAAACTGGTCTCAAAGTATCACCCTAACCGTCCCCTCCGCTCTTCACAAGACCTCCTGCTTTCCAGCTCCCTCATCAACTCTTCCCATGCTCACCTCCAGGACTTCACTAGAGTCTATCCCATCCTATGGAACTCTCTACCCCAACCTGTCCGTCTATCTCCCACTCTGACTGCCTTTAGGCGATCCCCTAAGACTCATCTCTTCAGGGAAGCCGATCCCACCTCAACCTGACCACTCAACCATCACGTTCTCAGACAATTCCCCCACACAGCCACCTCCTCATGTATCACTGGCCCCTCCCTTTTAGATTGTAAGCCCTCACGGGCAGGGCCCTCCTTACCATCTTGTCTTGAATTGTATTGTGATTGTAATGTCTTCCTTCTATTGTAAAGCGCTGCGCAAACTGTTGGCGCCATATAAATCCTGTATAATAATAATAATCCAAGCAACGGCTCTTGACCTTAATGGCCGAAACAAGACACATCTAACTAGTGCTTTATACGAGGAAGGTGGCATATGTGGTTGAGTAAAAGATCCAGAACATCAATGGGCAAAAGAGCAGAAGAAATCCCAAAACACGAACTGGAAGAGGTGACGGCACTGCCTTGTTAAAGAGGAAGTCTGGGTAAATCTAAAGCACACTCCCTGGCTCCTACTAAATATTCATTCAGAACCATCATTTTAACAAAATTATGCTTCTCATATACGTAACTTCCTGAAATCCATCTTCCTTTTCCTTAATATCCTCATACCATACATCAGACTGTGAAGGAGGAGTGATCCTTGGAAAGTAGAATAATTTGCATATTTCTATCATTCTAATACGTTTCACTCACTGGGAGCGGGAGAGGAAAATATTTAGGCAGGGAGGAAGAAGAACATAGGTCACCAGGCCCGGCGCTACCACAAGGTCAAGTCAGGCAGCCGCCTGAGGGCGCTGCAGGGTGAGGGCGGAAAAACAGGGCATTTTGACAAGTACTTGTACTTGTCAAAATGCCCTGAAGTGCGGGAGAGCAGCGGTGAGTCAGCGCTGGTCCAGGGGGAGGAGCTCCAGGTGGGGTCCTAATTTAGCTGGCTGGCGACTGCTAGAGGATCCCGACACGCGCGGCACCTCAGGCAGTCGCCGGCCAGCTAAATTAGGACCCCACCTGGAGCTCCTCCCACCGGACCAGCGCTGACTCGCCGCTGCTCTCCCGCGCCGAAGGTAAGTGAAGAAAAAAAAAACATAACGCAAACATCCGGGCATTTTGACAAGTACAAGTACTTGTCAAAATGCCCTGTTTTTACAGGGGGTCAGGCGCAAAAATGCACCTTGCCTGTGCAGGCAAGAATCCTAGCACCGGTCCTCTAGGTCACCAATGTTCTTTTATAGTCCAAGGAGAAGGAGGGGGAGAGGCAACACAGCAAACTACAAAGCTAAAGCAGTGTCACCGTCCGGCTAATAATGTATAGCAGGAGTGTGGGAATCATCAAATTGGCTGAACAGAGCAGGTAAATCGCCATCATATATTTTGGCTCTACATGAAATATTTCTTATGTAAAACGGAAGGCATTCTCATCGTCACTCCATTCACCAATGCAGAACATAAAAGACAACTTTAACATACATTGGGTCTGGCCATATCCCCATCGCCACCGCTGAATCCAAACAACAGAGAGCCATAAATCCATCCTGAGTGCAGCAGTTTCAGGCTTGCTTGCCATCATCAGTGCAGGTGTTGCCACCATGGCTTCTGTAAAGTTGGCCAATAGCTACAGGAAACGGACAATACATATGACTTACGTGCTACTTCCAAAGAGGCATTTCGGCTGACAGATTCTCCCAGGTAGTTCCGGGCCACGCAGATATAAACCCCCTCGTCTGGCTTACTCCTTCGTCCGTGGACAATGCGGAGGAAGAAGAGGGAACCGCTCGGCAGCAGCATTCGGTGAGAACGAGGGTCGTCCTTGTCCGTCTCCACCCGCTCGCCATCTTTGTACCACTCGATGATGGGCACGGGACGGCCTTCTGCTTTGCAGTTCAGCGTCGCCGGTTCCCCCTTTGAAACAATGTGATCGGACGGGTGTTCTACTATTCTCGGTGGGAAATCCTCCAGACGGGGACGGGAGCCTAAAGAAAAAAAAATAAATGTCATCAATATATCATCAATGTATCTTGTATAGAAGACCGTATATCTTTATATAGATAATGTGCACAGGTTTTATATTACCGATACCCAAGACAATAAATACATATGACATAGCCCTTTAATGCTTGGAATTTAATTGTAAAAGGTGACTGCTGCCCTCATACTAAAGGGCTCCGTTCTAAAATGTGGACCTGCTGGAATTGCAAAATAATTAGCCCCTGATTGAGGTGGGATGGGACGGGGCTATGGCCGCGAGGGAGCTCCATACATACGTGCATTTCTTTACTGCTCCCTCACGTGTCCTGTAGAGGTGCCTGGACCGGGGTGACATCACATTCTGGCTCCCAGCACCTCTTCAGGGCATGCGAGGGAGCTGTACAAGCAATGCACATATGGATGGAGTTCCGTCACAGTTCAGCAGCCCACATTGGACCCGAGGCTGAGGATCCACTCCAGTGCTCGTAAAGTAGTGAGAGTGGGTGGTGTTTTTGAGGGTCTGTTCACACTAGTACAGTGCGTTAATCGCACGTACCCTGCATTCTGGTGTGGGCGGTGTGTTGGGTTGCCGTTCATTTAAATGGTACCCAAAACGCACCTCCCACCCACAGCTTGTACGCCCGCACTGGAACATGCGGTATCCTAATTTCGTGCAGTCCGACTTGGGTCGCGACTTAATGACCAAGGACAAATGTGGGTCCTGAGGTTACACTGGTTGAGAACCATTGGCCTAAAGTCTGTAGAAACCGGACCATCACACCTTTGTGACCTTGTTAGACACCCATTCAGAAACTATGACTGGTAATGTGGCGTCCCTACCCCCTCCCCATGGCTGGTAATATGAAACTTTCCCCATTTTGCAGCTATAACATCCTCCACTCTTCTAGGAAAACTTTCCAGAAGAATTTGGAGGGTGTCTGTGGGAATGTGTGCCCATTGGTGAGGTCCTGATGTTGGATGAGGAGACCTGGATCTCAATCTGGTTCCAATTCATCCCTAAGGTGCTCAGTAGGGTTGAGGTCAGGGCTCTGTGCGGGACACTCGAGTTCCTCCACACCAAACTGGTCAAATGATGTGTATATGGAGCTGGCTTTGTACACAGGGCACAGTCATGGTGGAACAGAAAAGGGTCTTCACCAAAAACTGTGACCACAAAGCTGGAAGAGCACAATTGTCTATGATGTCTTTGAATGATGGCGTATTAACAGAACCTTCACTGGAGACACCTGAACTCCATAATTTAAATGGGTATTCACATACTTTTGGCCATGTCTTTGTATGATGGAGGATTGTCCTTCACTTGAGACACATGAACTCAATAATTTGGAGGTGGCTCGACAAGCTTTTAGCCATATAGTGTAGGTTCAAAGGTCAGGGCTCAGCAAACTTTTTGGTATACAGTTTAGACAGAGCAATATTGTTTGCCAGTGTAGCCTGTGCTCTACCAAAACCCCAACCTAACGCAGCTTCATCAGGAGCAATGATGGAATTCAAAATGTGACTGTAGAGTACATACTGGGGTGAGATTTTACATTTTTGAATGAAGTTAAAAAAAAGCAATTGGCCATAAAGTGTATGTGTATGAAAGGCCCTTATATCTTGCTGCCAGCAGCAGGGCAGAAAACACTCTCAAAGCGTCATAGGAGGCGACCTTTGTCATAACGGGGAAAAGTCCCACTAAGGAAAAGGCTTTGAGGTGGATGGAGACGCCATAATATGATTTATCCGCTCATCCCAAGACCTCCTGCTTTCCAGCTTCCTTGTCAACTCCTCCCATACTCGCCTCCAGGACTTCTCTAGAGTCTCTCCCATGCTCTGGAACTCTTTTCCCCAAACCTGTCCGTCTGTCTCCCACTCTGACTGCCTTTAGGCGATCCCTTCAGGGAAGCCTATCCCACCTCAACCCAACCCGCTCAACCATTCATCCGCACACAGCCACCTCCTCGTGTATCACTTCTCCCTCCCTTTTAGATTGCAAGCCCTCAGGGGCAGGGCCCTCCTTACCATCTTGTCTTGAATTGTATTGTGATTGTAATGTCTTCCCTATATTGTACAGCGCTGCGCAAACTGTTGGCACTATATAAATCCTGTATAATAATAAATTATAATCCCGGCAGAAACCCCGTAGAGTGGTGTTGTGGTTTCATTGTGCCGCCATTGCAGACAGAGGCTCAGCACTGCTTAGTAAGGAGTCAGACCCACAGAACTCATCCTGCCAAGTTATAACACTCCTCGTAGTTATTAGAACTTATTACTGCTTATTACAAACGCATAATCCATGAAAAGCCGTATTACCCGAGAACGTCTAATTGCTTTCTAGGTTTTAAAGCTTCTTAGAACTGCTAATTATCCCGAGCTGTGCGCAGCTTTTATAATTAGTTTCTTGCAGCTTCGGAAGGATTTTCAGGCCATCGATACCACCCTCGCAATATATTGTGTGCGGCAGGAGGTAAAGACTCGAGTGTGAGGTCATTATTTTAACCGAGTCAACCCATAAATACAATTAGGAAGAGCTTTGATTACAGGCTGCTCCTACAGGCTGTACTGCACATGCTATCCCTCACTGCCAACAGGTCAAAAAGAGAACCTGTCATTACTGGGCTTATGTAAAAATCTAAATATTAAGTCCACGATTGTGCTGGCTTAGCACTAAATGCCCTATATTATTCCACCTCAGTTAGCTTTATTCACCCTGAGGAATACCTGAGGCCCCGGTGGTTTAGATCACCTCAAGCATGACAGTTACTACTCTCATAATAACACATGCTGTCTGCCTCCTGAGCTTCTCCCATCCTATGGAACTCTCTACCCCAACCTATCCGTCTATCTCCCACTCTGACTGCCTTTAGGCGTTCCCTTAAGACTCATCTCTTCAGGGAAGCCGATCCCACCTCAACCTGACCACTGAACTATCACTTTCTCAAACAATTCATCCCCACACAGCTCCCTCCTCATGTATCACTGGCCCCTCCCTTTTAGATTGTAAGCCCTCAGGGGCAGGGCCCTCCTTACCATCTTGTCTTGATTTGTGATTGTAATGTTCTCCTTATGTTATAAAGCGCTGCGCAAACTGTTGGCGCTCTATATAAATCCTGTATAATAATATTATTACATAACGGCATCACATAAAAGAATCCTGCCGTTGTATAGATCAGCGATTAAAGGGTTGTAGGTCAGATACGGTTATGGTTACTCAGGAGCTGGAAGGCAGTGTGTGTCATCAAGCATGAGTTTAGGCAGATGACACAAACTGTCAGGCGAGGAAGGTGGGTCATTGCTGACAGTTCACTATAATGCTGGGTTCCCACCTGGGCGGATTGAATATGCGCGTTTTCCGCGCGTTTTTTTTACCGCGATTCGCGGTAAAAAAACCCGCGCGGCAAACGCGCGTTTCTGAGGGATACTTGGCTGTATCCCAATGGAACCGCCCGACCAAAACGCCCCAAAGAAGTACATGTACTTCTTTGGGCGTAGGGCGGTTTCCCGCGCGTTCGTACTCGCGGAAAACCGCACAGATGGGAACCATACACATTGAAAATAATGGCATTTCCCTGCTTGAGTGCTTTTCCGCGAGTACAAAAGCGCGTAAAACCGCCTAGGTGGGAACCCAGCCTAAGACTCATCCTTAGAAGCTGACCGTGTTGGTTTGCTGGCTGGGTTGTTGGATCGGCTGTCAATTTTGCAGCCGTTTCCAATCACTTTAAAATGCCATAATGAAACATCAGAACTCCTTTAGGCTGCAGACAGTAGCCGGAGTCCCATCGGTGGGGTCTACAACCCTTAATGTGACAGCCGCAGCCTTTCCTGACCCCACTTTGACAAATTGGCTTGGCTGTTGTGTCAGTACGTGACGACACCTCTGTGTCCCTGTCCTAAGTGATGGTGATTTTCTGCTAAGGGTCACAGCCAGTAACCTCTGCGGAGATGTCCCACAGCCCACTGGAGATGGAGGGAGGGCCCTCAATGGCAGCGTGAATGGCTCCTTTTGATATTTGTCTCCACCAGAGCGTTGTTGCGGTTTCAAGGAAGACTACTGTGGATTGCAGATGAGGCCCGGAGCATCAACTTTGTACAATGAATTCAATAACCCAACAAGGGGAATCAGTTTCAAGCTTCTCATCAATAAAAGGTATCACAAGGGGGGGGGGGGGCTGAGAGCTGACCACCTTTCCTTAAAAGACTTGGCAGCTTCCCCAACGTATAGCCCAATTGCCTGGTCCTGTGACAATCTTGCATAGCTGATGAGTATAAGAAATCAGATAAATAACTACACATTATTGGACATTACTGTAGCTTTCCATATAGTGTAGGTCTTCTCTTCAGAATGAAGCAAACTACACCGAACCTCAAGAACAGACACATATGGCCTCAAAAGTAATTTCAGCTAGTCAATAAAATACACCATTTAAAGTTTACCTGAAAGGCCCAAAACTTTTTTTTTTGTTTGGATAGACTAGGGAAGGGTTACAAATGTTGCCATGTAAAGGAATGAGGGGGATAACAGCACCACTCCATTGTTAGATGTCCAGAATGAGTTTTATTGATGATAAACAAGATAAGCCAATGTGTTCTGGGGGCTACAGAACTTGAGCTGGTCAGGTGAGTCACAAGTCTTAGAAATATCATACTTTAACCTTTCCACATATAGAAGATGCAGCTAGAGGTCTATCTGACCACTCCTCGTTAAGAGGTCTCTTTTAGGGCAAGGGCCCCCATTACACCTAAAAAAACCATTGAAAGCTGAATCCATGCCAGCCAACCCTTCTCAAAACACAATCAACAAGCAGAGGGTCCAACATATTTCTTGGATCTCTCATCCCAGTCCAGATGTTTGTCTTCCAATTTCTCAAGGCCTAAACAAGGGGGACCTCTGTAGACCCCAAGAAAACATATTGACTTATGTTGATACCAAACACAATTCTGGACATCTAACAGCGGCGTGACACTCTTATCCTCCAAGCTTCCTTTTTTTAAATAGGCTCAC